CCGCCGATGCGGACGCGGTACGACGGATATCAAGCGACGTCTGTGGTAGGTCTGGACTGTGTCGGCATATCGTCGAGCAGGTGGCGTGCGACGAAGGAGAGGCGTGCAGGCGGGGCGGCAGCTCAGGCGGCGGTGAAGGAAGATCTGAGAGGGGAGTAAACGGAGCTCGGCGACGGCTTGGTCGACCGCTGGGCGGAGCGACGAGGGGATGGTGGAGCTTAGGAGAGGAGATGGCGGTGGAGAACAGGGAGAAGACAGAGGATGAGTTGGGTGGTTGACGTGGTGTTTGGGTTCGAAGAGAGAGAGCAAAGGAGAAGAGGTTGGAGAAGAATAATAGAAGACAGGAGAGATGAGGATGAGTTGATTGGAGAGAGAGAGAGAGAGAGAGAGAGGGTGTGGGATTAAAATAAAAAGGAAATCCAGGTTGGTGTGAAAGAGAGCGGTCAGGGAAGTGAGGGGATCCGGATCCTCTCCTAATAAAAACTTTCCTAATATTTCCTAATGAGTTAATCTTAGCCGTCCGTTTTACATCTACGGTCAAGATTCCTTCCTTCACCAATTTTTCTCTGTTCTTCTCCCATTCACTCACAGATCTCTCTCTTTCTCAACTCCCTCCTCTCTCCCCTCACTCCTCCAGCCCCAAGCTCCGACCACCGCCGTCGCCTCCATCAGATCCGCCACCACCAACCGCTTACTCCTCTTCCCCTTCAACCCGCCTCCTCGCCACCGCCTCTCTCTCCTCGTCATCTCGCCGTCGCCGTCCTTCTCTCTCCTTCACATCTCTGACAAAACTCCCCCCGCCGGACCCTCCCCTCCCCCTCCGTAACCCACGTCCAGTGCGATGTCTCCGACCCCGGCGACGCCCTCTCCAAGCTCCCCCCCCCCTCCGACAACACCCACCTCTTCTACGTCTCCCTGGCCCACCGCGGCTCCGAGTCCGGCAACATCCCCGCCAACTCCTCCATGTCGATTTCCTTGAAAGAGTTGGCGATTACGGGGATTGATGATCGGAGATATTGGAATTATATTCCAACTGAGGAATCTAGGTATTGGTTTCGCCCTTTCATAATCTTATTAATCATCAAAGTTTGATTTTAATTGGATTGTCCAAGAATTTAATTGCATGCTTGATGCCTTAGTTCTTGTGCAATTGATTCTGAATAATCACTTGGCCATGTTTATTTCATTTTGCTTGGACTCTTGAAATTTTTATATTATTTAAAATTTTTTGATAGAAAATGGTGATCTTGTCTTAAAATATGCATTTTTTTTTTGTTAAATTGCGCTGTAGGTGTGTGTGATATGAAGATTGATCCTCAAAACTTCACACCTTATTAATCTCTATACAGGTGTGATATTGATTACTTAATTTCTCATTTAGTATCTTCGGCTGGAGACATACGAATTCAAATTGCACATTAATTTTCAAGTAGCAATTTGGATTGCCTTCTGTTTTTCTTCCCAACAGAACTATATGGTAAAAATTAGATACTTGATTAAGATATAGGATTAAGAAACAAAACATGTTTTTATATGTGAATAGACAAGCTTGACCATTTAAAGTTATTTACTGTGAAGTGTATTCATTGATTTGTTCATCCAAATTATACAACTAGTAGTTGTTCTGGTTCTATTGTAGTGATTCATCTCGTCTGTATTATGTTTCATTTTCTTTTCCCTTCTTTTTCGATGTGTAGATATTTTAGCTTAACGTATTCAAGAACTTAAATTTGGTTTTACAATTTTTCATACTTATGTTGACAGTGTGATGAGCTTGTCGAACAAGGTGCTTCGGTTGGAGAAACTCATGCAGCTGTAGTCAAGAAGTGCAAGTATACTATAGCAATGCCATCTGACCCTAAAGCTGCTCTCTCGGTCAGTAGGGATTACTATCTGCTTATTAGTTTATTGGTTTGAAGTTTAGATCTTTAACCTTGAGTGCTGAATTTATCCAGGTTGTTTTTGACAAAGATGGGGTGCTCAATCAAATATGTGAGGGAAAAGGCTATATCGACATGTCCATAGTTGATGCAGATACTTCTTCTAAAATAAGCGAGGTATGAAAAATCTGACCCTTCTTCCTTGTTGTCACAATTTCTTTGTTGTTTATGAAATTTGTTCGATTCAGATTTGTTAATGAAGGTTCTCATCTTCTCATATTGCAGGATGAAAAGTTCGTGCAGAATTAAATTCCCTAACTTTTATTTTTATTTTTAAAATATGAAAAGTTATTTCTTCACATTTTGCATGTCCTTTTAATCATATTGGGCCTTGGAGAAGCAAAAAATTTAAATTTTGTTGAAAATAAATTTTAAAAAAATGGGAAATCAGAAGTCCTTCAGACTTATGTAACTAGCCGCGAAAGAAATCTAGTTTTGTAACTAGTTCAATCTATATGATGGGTAAACGGATAGAAATAGTTAGAAAAAATTACAGTCTACAAAAATTTGTTACATATGGAGAAGCAAATATTGTTTATTGTTTTGTTTCTCTTGAAATATCACTAATTAGTTTCTTTTTGTTTTTCATTTATAGAAGAAGCAAATGAGATAGTTTGTGAGATAGATTACAAAAGTATTTTGGAGCTCAAGAACAACGAGTTGTCGGATAATGTGTGGACTAATTTAGGTGTTTCTTGACTAATTTGGTTGTATGGACTTGTTGATGTAAGTGAACTTTGATGGTGTATGAACTTATTGATGTTGTTCGGTTTTAAATTGTTGGTAAGTCATGTGGTTTTATTGTTGCAATGACGAGCTCAAGAGCAACGAGGTGTTGGATAATGTATGGACTAATTTGGGTGTTTCTTGACTATTTGGTTGTATGGACTTGTTGATGTAAGTGAACTTTTGATGATGTATGGACTTCTTGACTAATTTTGGTTGTATTGAATTATTTGTATTGCGAAATAGTCTATACATACCCCAACTTGGTATCATTACAGGTTCACTTGGATTTTAATAAATATCTTGTTGTATTCAATTGTTGAATAGGTTTGATGATTGATTGCTGCATTCAAATTACAGGTTCACTTGATATCATTATTCTAACATGGCTTGATGAGATGTAGTTGTGTTCAAATTGATGTGATAATTTCCTCCCATTTAGTGCCCTGAAGACTTTCAGGGTTCTTCCGTTTGTTTGAAATAAGTTTCATACATAATTTAGTTGCGACGTGGTGATACCAAGTGCTTAGGAAAATGCTATTTGGCTCGCGAGTTTGACGTGCAAACCCAGCGCGCGTGAGAGGTGGATCCCACCACCTAGATCCACCTCTCTCACGCGCGCTGGGTTTGCGCGTCAAACCAGCGAGCCAAACTAGCATAACCCAGAAATGTTCAGTTTCTTTCTCTCCTAAAGCATAGCAAACACCAAATATGGAGAAGTAAATTGAATTTTCGCAATTACAATTGACTCAAACAGAAGTCTGTCCAGTAGCAAAGATTTACAAACGGATTAACATATTTATTTACCATATCCAAGCAGCAAGTACATTTCACAAGTAAGGATCCAATAGTAAAAACGTTATCACAAGAAGAAAAATTTTCGCAGACAAGAAATTGTATGAATAGCAGCAATCATTAAGGATTCAGCAACAAGAAGAGCTCAGCTACTGCAACAGCCGCCAGCTGAAGACGACCCCCCCCCCAGCGGGGCCTTGAACTCCTCCATACCCGACTTTGATCCCATAAGACTGAAAAAACCCCCATGAAATTCAAAGTAGGAGGTATACCAGTAGGAAAATTTACAAGAAATAATCTACAATGAGACAACTACTTTTGATAATGGAGTGGTTCTTCAGACATCTAAGCAGACATACGCATGAAGAATTATCAATCCCCGTAATCGCCAACTCTTTCAAGGAAATCGACATGGAGGAGTTGGCGGGGATGTTGCCGGACTCGGAGCCGCGGTGGGCCAGGGAGACGTAGAAGAGGTGGGTGTTGTCGGAGGGGGGGGGGAGCTTGGAGAGGGCGTCGCCGGGGTCGGAGACATCGCACTGGACGTGGGTTACGGAGGGGGAGGGGAGGGTCCGGCGGGGGGAGTTTTGTCAGAGATGTGAAGGAGAGAGAAGGACGGCGACGGCGAGATGACGAGGAGAGAGAGGCGGTGGCGAGGAGGCGGGTTGAAGGGGAAGAGGAGTAAGCGGTTGGTGGTGGCGGATCTGATGGAGGCGACGGCGGTGGTCGGAGCTTGGGGCTGGAGGAGTGAGGGGAGAGAGGAGGGAGTTGAGAAAGAGAGAGATCTGTGAGTGAATGGGAGAAGAACAGAGAAAAATTGGTGAAGGAAGGAATCTTGACCGTAGATGTAAAACGGACGGCTAAGATTAACTCATTAGGAAATATTAGGAAAGTTTTTATTAGGAGAGGATCCGGATCCGAAGTGAGGGGTGCGGAATCTAAGGAGGAAAACATGGAAGTGGGGTAGGGGAAATTGAGGGAATCATGGGAGAGAAAAGAATTGATTACGGGAGAGATATTTGAGAGAGTTAATGGTATGATTTGAACATGATTCTGGGGAGTGATTAGGGAGATTATGGTAAGGATTCAAATGAGAGAAAATTAAGGGGAAAGAAGATTATGGGAATATTTTGCAAGATATTCAGAATAATAATAAACATAGAATAATATTAATAAATAATTAACAACTAAATATTTATATATTTACATATGTATTAACGTACTAAGCTCAAGCTTACATTACTAATAATAAGATTATTAATAATATCAATGGCTAAAAATAATTATAAAAAAATATTCACTATAACTATAAATTAATATTTAGCATGACTAATAAATACAAGGCTATATATTTTATTTATTTATTTATTTTTAAAACTCATAAAATTCCAGAAATTGAGAAAAATATTAATAAAATAAAGTTTAATATTTTAAATACTAGCAAAATTTATTTAAATACGTATCAAAAATTTACGGTTGTTACAGAGGATCCAATGGCTCAGAGAAGGAGACAATAACTCAGCTTTCTTCCATAGGATAGCTTCGCACCGTAGGAGAATCAACTTCATCCCTCATCTCATCATAAATAATACCATCCTCTCCCCTGTTCCCGATATGAAGCAAGCTTTTTTTGATTTCTTCTCCAACCTCTTTAAATCTCAGGTGGAATCTAGTCTGAAAGTCAACTGGAATATCTTATATCCGGTTGATCCAGTTAACCTATCTAACTTGGACTCGTCTTTCTCTGATGACGAAATCAAGCAAGCGATTTTTGATCTTCATCCCGACAAGTCCCCGGGTCCTGATGGCCTTCCTATCTTCTTCTTCCATCATTTTTGGTCTGTCATTCAACAAGATGTCATCTCGTTCATTAAATCCCTTCACTCTGATGCTTCTCCCCTTCACAATATCAACTACTCCTATATTTGTCTTATCCCCAAGAAGGATGGTGCTAGTAACTAGCAGATTTTAGGCCTATCAGCCTGATTAATAGTTTGGTGAATTTTTTTTCCAAAATCTTGGCTAATAGGCTCAGCACCTTCATCCCAGCCCTTGTTGATCAGACTCAGTCTGCATTTCAGAGTGGGAAATCTTCTTTGGATTCTATCTTGATTGCTCATGAAATGATTAACTCCTGTTCCTCGGGGAAAAAAGAGTTGTGCGCCATTAAAGTGGATTTCTTCAAAGCTTTTGACTGTGTCCACTGGAACTTTCTTATCTCTCTCTTATTAGCCAGAGGTTTCAGTCACAAATGGTGTTACTGGATTTATCATCTTCTTTCTTCTAACAAATCAGCTGTGCTTGTTAATGGCTCTCCTACAGCCTTCTTTAAATGCCACCGTGATTTGAAACAAGGTGACCCTCTCTCCCCTATGCTCTTCCTCTTGATTGTAGATGTTATGTGCAAAATGATCACTGAGAGTGGGAAGGCTGGTGATCTCTCTGAGCTAAACTTGAAAGGGAGCTTAAATTCTATTAGATCCCTCCAATTTACGGATGATACTCTGATTTTCTGCAAAGCTTCTCTTAAAGATATCTCTACTCTCAAATTCATCCTATCCATATTTGGTAGTATCTCTGGGCTTAAAGTGAACCACTCCAAAACTAGTCTCTATTATCTCGGTAAACCCAAATAGGGGAAGCTACTTAGCAAATAATATCAATTGTTCTGTGTGTAAGCTTCATTTCTCCTATCTTGGCCTTCCACTCAAAAGAGGTTCTCTTTCTAAAAGAGAATGGCAACCCCTCATGGACTCCTTTTCCAGTAAATTGGCTCTATGGAAGAAAAAATCATATCTATTGGAGGTAGACTTACTTTGATAAACTCAGTCCTATCTTCTCTCCCTCTATATTATATGTCTTTCTTTATAATCCCAAACTGGCTTATTAAGGCTGTAGACAAAATCAGAAGGGAGTTCCTGTGGGGTATCCACCAGCAGCCATCAATCCTAAAAATCTAGCTTTTAAATGGCGAAGAGTTTGCCCCAGATCCAAAAAAGAGGGTGGGCTGAGCACTTCATAAATCTAAAACTTTTTAACTATGCTCTTCTTTTCAAATGGATATGGAAGATTCTAGACAGAGATTCTTTAATAAGCAAAGTCATCTTCTCTTTATACTCTACTAACTCGTCCAACCCAGTTGCTAACTTCCTAGATCTTCGGCATCAAATCTGATTAAAGATCTGTATTCCATTCAAGAGCCCTTCTCTACTTTAATTCAATGGAAGCTTGGCAATGGCAGCACCTGTAGATTTTGGCTTGATAAATGGAATAGTGATAATACTCTCAGCAGCTTGTTCCCCTCAGTGTTCCACCTTGCATTTTCCTACTCCTGTACCACTATCTCTCAAGGCAATATCATCCAGAATTCTTGGAAATAACACCCGATCATTAGAAGAGGATTCTCTGCAGAGATAAGAAGAGATATAAGGCAGCTATACCTTTCTTTGGATAATATCCAGCCTTCTGACACAACTATTCATGATTCCATAAGTTGGCCTTTCCATCCTACAGATATGTTCTCAGTCAAATCTTATTATAAGATTCTCAAGTCTGGAGGTACCCTCTTCAATCTATCTTCTTTTATTTGGAGCTCCCCCACCCCTCTCAAGGTCAAGATCTTCTTTTGGCTTTTGGCCCAACACAAACTCAACACTAAAGATGTGCTCACTAAGAAAGGATGGATAGGTGCAAATAACTGCTCCCTCTGCAATTCAGACAACGAGTCTCATGACCACATTTTTAACAGTTGTGCTTTCACGAGAAGTGTTTGGTCTTTCATTCTCCCCCCTGAAATTATGAGTATCTGGCCTCAGAATTTAGACAATATGTTGTATGATTTCAATTCTTTTCTAACTGATCACAAGATTAGAGGTTTATGGAAGGTTCTCCTTCCATGCTGTTGCTGGTGGATTTGGTATAGCAGGAACAATCTCATATTCAACAATGTCAGAGCTTCTCCTCAACAGGCTGCCTCTAACATCGCCCGTTTTTCTCTTCTATGGATAAGCACTTTTAGCAACAAGAAGGCTCCCTCCCTCTCTAAGGCTGCGGCCGACATCGGGCTCCAGGGGACGACATATGAGAGTGCGAGAGATGCAGTGGGAGAAAATTTCTGAAGCCACCTCTTCAAAACAGCTTCTAGTGCTAGTTTCAGTGTTTTTCTTCTCTCTTCTCGCAGATCTTCTTTTTGATGTTTAAAGCTTTCAAGGATGTCTCCTAAGAACTTCTAGTCTCTTTTTGTTTTATTTTTTGGGGAGAGTAGGAAACAAAGTAGATTTTCTCTATCCGGTGACGACAAGGTCCGCTCCCGGATGCTTACATCTCCACTGTTTCCTACTCTCTTTCTGCTCTTTTGGGTTGCTCATGTAAATATTAACCTAATAGTTTTTATATATATAATATATATCATGAATAGAGTTCTTCACCCTGTTTAAAATCTTCAAAAAAA